GCGTTCTTTGCCTAGGATCTTGGTGTGGGGAGCTGCTTTCCTGAGAGCAGAACTCTCAGCTTTAATCCTACTGTTTCTGGGCAAAGGATGGAAGACCCTTTGAGACTTGGGTAGGGTGGAGAGGATAGACTTAGTGCCTCTGCTCTGAGGTAGACTCCGTTAGTATCCGTATGGTTGTGAACTAGTTACAAGGTCACCCTTAGCTTTTGATGTCTCATGGGGTTTCTGCCCCAAGAGGAAAGTGGGTTGAGCGTCAGCATGTGCTGCCATGCCTGCTTTAAGAGTGATGGGGATGAAGCTTGGGAACCCCTGGGCCAGAAGGGGCAGGCCACATTTCCATGTTGCCAAAGCCAGGGTAGTCTTGACACTTACAAGGGACACCAAGATAGAATCTTAGAGAGGGCAAGCAGGAGGGATGTCCCCAGTGATATGGACTAAATCCCAGAGCACAGCGCCAGTGCCCAGGCTCTCAGCATTTAGGGAAGAGCCAGGAATGCTTCGCAACCTTGAAAACGGCGGATTTTTAGCTAAGCAGAGAGGGTAGGCAGAACTCCAGGGTGACACCCCGGTGTGCTCAGGAAACATGCCTGCCCACTCTCCATGCTCTACCTGAGGCCTTGTATTCATCCCTTCATTCCTGTAGGGATGGTCCAAATGGATGTTATTCATCCAGGGGCACTGATAGAGCCCCTGTGATATGAGTGATCTGTGCAGAATTTCTTATGCAGGCACCCCCCCCCATTATAATTGCCTTGGCATATCTCGGATATTCTAGTTCAGATTTAAAAGTTCAAGAACTACTCGATGCCCAGTCTTGGTGAAGAATTCCCAATGCATGCCACTATCTGTCTGTAAATGTAAAGGCCATTAATGACCCATTGTAGTGACAAGGAGCGAGATGTGAAGGAGCTCTATAAATGGGACTGATGGCCTAGAGAAGAGCCTCATGTGTGCCTTCTCGTGTGCCTGGCTTGGGTAGGGCTGCAGACAGGTGACAAATGGCTAGCAACATCTGGGTTCTTCATCTGTCGTCTCCGATCCGGTCGTCTGGTTTCAAGCAGATCCCCCTACCTCCTCCTTGGGTTCCCATTCCTCTCTGATTCCCCAGGCTCTTGACTGACTCCTTTCAACATGACACGTGGGACAGAGATGGTTTCTGGTGACTGTTGGGAGAGGAGGTAGACAGACTGGCCTAGGTCCTGGGAGGTAGAACTGGATTTGAAATAAAGGCAGGGTACCACAGGTGTTGTCTAACACACTGCTCTGTGAATGTATGAGCTTTCTTTCCCTTACAGTGAAGGTTGGTTTATAGCCATGGGTCTACCTTTGGGGTGTCTCAGAAAAAAAAAAAAAACTTCCTGCAGTGGACTTGACCTTCCAGACTTTGACTCTGGCTGGAGCGAGAGGGATTTACTCAGTCCTTTTCTGCTCCACATAAGGCCTTCCTGAGCTTTTTCTGTGTCGCTTCATCTTCCCAGTTCTTTCCAGCTCTGGCGTTGCCAGAGAGACTCAGACCCAGACTAGGACCACATGGACAGCGAGGTATTTGTCTGCAACCTGCTGATCGTTTAAGCCTCAGGCTCATCACAGCCCAGTTTTCTAGGGAACCGGTTCTCCCAGCAAGTGTGCACATTTCTGTACGAGTGTGCCTGTCACGCCTCTGCTCTCACACAGGCTGCTCCTCTAGGCAACAGGGCTGCCGTTTGCAAAAGGGGTCTTGGTTGCCAGGGAGGATTGGTCCCCCTCTTGTCTCCTGCCTCCTCTTTCCTCTCCTCTATACCCACCCCTAACCCTAGGCTCAGGCCTCAAGGTTAATTTCTCTGACAGTGACTGGGGCTCCATCCTTTCCTTTTTTCTACTCCCACCCTGCCTCCCCACCTCCCTGCCTCCCTGCCTGCCAGGCCTTTGAGTTATGTGTCTCCTGTTCTAATGAGATAAACAACATCCGTCTCCCAGGGCTCTGCTTTTCCCTCCATAAGGGCAACTGTAGGGTGGAATGTGTTGGTCCTATATAAAGCGGCCCTGGTGCCTGTCAGCCTGTCAGGCAGGGTGAGGAAAGATAGTAAGCAGCTTTGGGGTACATTAACTTGTTGAGACAAGGTGGATTCAAAGCAAAATTAACAGAGAATCACGTGTCCATCCTGGTGGCTGAAGAGCCAAGCAGCGGCAAGGGCAAAGTTGGCGCATGGGCACAGTGTCCAAGAATCATCTCTATCAAGTAGCTTGTGATGACAACAACTGATACCCATCCAGTCTTCACGGTTGCAGAGAGATTCCCCTTAAACATCAGTTAATTCCCACCAGACTCCCCTGAGGTCGGCATTACCGATGACCTGATCTTATAGGCGGGAGGCAGGCCCTGCTGGGGGCTGTGGTGTTTTCTAAAAGCTCATGCATGCGAGGTTCTTCTGCACCACAGGGCTTCTCCAAGCTAGAGAGTAAAAACAGCATCTCTTCCGCATCCACACCATTGCTAACCTTAGCTCTTCAGGAGAGTGGATGTAAGCTACCAGTAGGGTGTCTTCGGTACCAATAACCCGCAGGGCAGTGGTTAGGGTGTAGAGAGCATATAGTACCCAGACAGGTGTGGGCAGTTTCAAATTTTGGCTCTTTAGACCCTTTGAGAGTGCTGTTGAGGACCAGCTTCTCATTTAGCAGTCTCAGTTCAGGTTGGAAATACCAGGAAGTGAAGGGGACGGAGCAAGAAGAAAACCCAGGGCACAGAGATGGCCACACAGAGGTAGGTGGGCTCAGAACTGAAGCCAGAGCCTACCCTCCAGAGTCCTTGGATGCTTGTCAAACAAGACGTTTTCTTTCCTTGTTGTTCTGGGAACCGAACTCAGGGTCCTGTAGCTGATCGGCAAGGTCTCTACCGCTGAGTCATATCCCCAGCCCTTCTTGAATGGTTTGTTTGTAGGTGACCGAATACCTGGGAGCCAGGACTATCAGGGCCGATGGTTATTTCTTTCTTGTATTTCTAAGTCTTGTTTAGTTCTGGCTGAGTTTATATGATGACTTCTAGATGTGGCTGCCAAGTGTGGTGAGCTAAATATAGGGGACCCTAGAGATGGCAGGATTCCTGCCGTCCTAGCTCTTTCAAAACCAGTAGGGGAGACACTAGCATGCGGGCAATTAATTATATTACCTTGGGGGAAATACGAGGAATTTCAGATCCCACAGAAAATGCCATTAAACCAGTCTTGGTACATCAGAGAGCACAGGCAAGCAGCTAGTAGATACTGTTCAGGCCTCCAGATGTTTTCAGTAGGCATTCAAACTAACCTAGAAAGTTCCTTAAAAACAGTTGTTGTAGACTCTTAAAGGCATACCTCCCTTCAGATCAGAGGTCTGGTGTGGACTTCAGGCTCTGGAATTTCTGAGTTCTCCAGATTCTTGCCAGTTCAGCTGATTAGAATCACTAGCCCCAAGTGATTTCTGGGACTTGTTCTGTGATGTGGAGGAGTGGGTCTTTGCTAAGATCCTGAGGGACCTTCCCCAGAAGCAGCTTGAATGTCTGGATGGGGCCCAGAGTGAATGCGTCTACTCAGGAATGACAGGGCGAGAGATAGCATCTTCCTCAAGACAGTCACATCAGAAATGTGGAGCCATCTCTGGGAGTGCTTTCTCTGAGAGCGAGGTCTCGGCTGCTTCTGTCTCCATGTCCCGCCCCCCATCTCTATGTCCCTGGAGCTCAAATAACTTATTCGACTCCTTTAACTCTCTATCTATCTGGTGCAGGCCTATCCTTAAACCTTCCTGACTCCAGCCTTAATATTTCCTGAGAATCAGTAGGGTGGAGATACATATCTCCAATGTATTTACCATCCTGAAAAACCGTATCATTAAAATGATACTTAGCATACAAAATCATATGGTCATTTTGGGTCCTTTTATGCTGGTATGACTGCCAGTCAATGGAAGCCATTCTTTCTCTTAACTTTTTTATCAGGGTGGTGGTGTGTGTTTGTGTATGGGTACATGTGTGTTTACTCATGCATGCATGTGGAAGTCAGAGGTTGACTGTGGTATCTTTCTCATCACCCTTCACCTTATTGTTTGAGACAGGGTCACTCAGTGAACCTACAGCTTGCTCTTTCAGCTCTACCAGTTGACCAGCTAGACCCTGGAGTCCCTCTGTCTCTATCTCTCCTACCTAGCACCTGGGGTTATAAGAATGTGCCCTCTAGTGCTGGGAATTGAACTCAGGTCCGCATGCTAGGATAGCAAGTATTCTACCCACTGAGCCGTCTTCCCATTCCACAACTGTGTGTCTCTGTGTGTGTGTGTTAATATGTGCATATGTGTATGCAGAGTGATTGGCAGTGGGATTAGAAGCCATATGTAGACAGGGACTGCTTTTGGAAGACAATGTGTGCGCGGCCATCCTATGGACTTCTGCCCATTTCCTTGTGTGAGGCCTGGCGCATGGGCCAGGAAGTCAAGGAGCATAAGCTATGCAAATGGGTGTCTAGGGCAGGGCATGCCTCCATGAGTTGCCCATGTCTTCTGGCCTCTGCAAATGGCCTGGAGCTGGCAGTGGTGGGATGCTGTGAGCAGAGCTAGTTCTTATGACATTGTGTCTTTGAAATGCTTCTTAGTCTAGACTCAGGTAGATTCACTAACTTCTGCTGTTTCTCTCTGAAGGGAGCTTGTTTAACTTGGCCCCCGACAGAAGGACAGTGTTACTACAGGGCTACTGCCTTGCAAGCCTGGTGGTTTACAAGTCTCTGCAGGCCAGATAATACCTTTTTAAGAAAGGTGGTTGCTCTGCCTGGCGAGGGGCCTGCTGATTGTTATGGTGGAATAGATGGGGTTGAGGTCTGGGATGACATGCTAGTTATACCTTGGCTGGGCTGTGGACCAACCCGGAGACACCAACAAGTTACTTCACCTCTCTGGGTTCTCCTTGTCTCTCACTGTGAGTGACAGGTTAGGCCGGATAGCCTATGATGTCCTTTCTGGTCTATAGCCTTTTCCCTTTACATTGTGTCTTTCCACAGGCCTGGCTCCGGGCCAGCTGTACACGTACCCTGCCCGCTGCTGGCGCAAGAAGCGACGATTGCACCCGCCAGAGGACCCAAAGCTGCGACTCCTGGAAATAAAGCCTGGTGAGTGCCCTATGGAGCTCAGTTGGGCCAGTGGCAGAGGTGAGGAGGCCTGAGCTCCCCACGGCAGGACTCGTTGCTCTTGTGTCCACATGGCGAGTTTCTTGGCCCGGGGTTGTAGCTCAGTAGTAGAGAGTTTGCTTGGTATGGGCAAGGCCAGGAGTTCAACCCCTATACTGCAAGAAAAAACAAAACAAAACAATAATAAATAAATAATAATAAAATAAAATAAAATAAAGACAAAATAATAATAAACCCAACAGAATGCGTTTCTGGTAGAAGCCTGGTCTCCATGTGGCACACAGAGATATGCGTGTGCTCATTCCGTGTCAGTACACGTCCTGTTGTTTCCCTCGACGTTGAGGAAACGTCCTCAAGTTTCCCTGAACGTTGGAGTGTTGTGCCATCTCTTTTTGTCCCTCTTGTCACCCTTGAGAAGCAAAGCCAGCAGCCATAGGGGCCAGTCCTCAGTGATTCCCCTCCCAAAAAACCAAAATGCTTTGGTTCAGCTCCCTCTCTTCCTTGTAGCCTCCACAAAGATACCTTGACCCAGGTATGTTTTCCCAAAGAAGAAAGGGTGTCCTGGGGACACCTCCCACGCCCCCCCCCCCCTGGGGACTTCCGGGGATGAAAGGCTAGCTTGTTAAAACTGGAACTTGCTTTGGGGGTGCGAGAGTTAGGTTGTCCAGTCCATCCCTGGGGTGCAGGCTTCTTTGCTGTGACCCAGCTGTGACACTTCAGACACATGCCGGGTTGCAACATGACGGAGTCAAGGCAAATGTCACCTCACCCGCAACCTCCACTCAGTGTGTGGCGTCCTTACTTCTAATGGAACCCCTTAATGCTGGGATGGTGGCTCTGCTTCGGACTCTACCCAGGGAATGGGTCAAGGTGGTAGGTGAAAGCGACCGATGAGTGGCTGGATTTTAGCCACCTTCCTAGTGTGATCAGGACCGTGAGGTCAGCACGAGTACCGCCCTCCCAGCATGCACCAGTCTAGGGAGGATGGAAGTCCTTTGGCGGTTTTGGTCTATGCCCTTATTTTCTTTTTGAATGGCAGTGTGTGTTTGGCACTCTGCCGTGTCTCATTTGGATCTAACCACACTTCAAGTACCTAATAGACACGTGTAGCCAACGGAGCTGTGTTGGGCATTGTGGTTCTAGGACCACACGGAAAGTGTGACCCCAAGCAGCAGCACCAGTGGTAGTGGTGGCATCTGGAATCAACGTTTGAGGCCAGCCTGAGTTTTTTTATTGTGAGTTCTAGGTCAACCTGGACTACATGGGACCCTATCTAAATAAAACAAATTAACAACAACAACAACAACAAAAAACCCAAACCAACAACAAAAATGAAAGAATACGTTGGCCATGGTGGCACACATTTTTAATCTCAGAACTCCGGAGGCAGAGGCAGGTGGATCTCTATGAGTTTGAAACTAGCCTGATCTACAAAGTGAGTTCCAGGACAGCCAACAATACACAATGAGACCCCAACTAAGAAGTAAGTAAGAAATGAAAGATAAGAAAGAGATTACTTGTCAGAGGATGTCATAAAATCAAATACATCTAGCTCAAAGGAATAAAAGGCATCATTAACCCCAGTGTCTTACTTTATTTCAATCCAGCCAGGTTAAGAAACTCATTCAAAGTCACACAGTAATTTCCTATGGGCCCAGCAGGGAATCCAAATTGCTTGAGTCCCTGTTCAGGGCTTTTCTGCTGCCTCACACGGCAGAGAGGTCTCTTTAGACATTTACTTTATGATTATAAAATTAATATATCTATTGAATATTCAAGCACACAAGTCATAAGTGTTAGAAGCCCATACCTGGCTAGCCTAAGCCAAAATGAAAACCCGATGCACAGAACAGTAAATCTGGGTTCCCAAAACTGCTGTGAGGGCTTATACCTTGTGGTGTGTACAATATGCTCTTCTCCTCATAGGGAGGTACCAGACTCAGCACCTAGCAGGACAAGTCCCCTTCCCGAGCTGGGGCAGAGAAGCCCCTAGGGAGGCCTGAAGAGCTGGCTGGGTTTTTGTCTGCTCCACAAATTCTTGTCATCCAGGGTCCTGAGTCACCACCTCAGCAGTGGCTTCTGATTAGCATAGTGCTTGGTAAAGCCCTTTCCAAAGCTTTCCCGTTCAGCAGATACCAGCTCCTACCTTACACTGGGGCTTAGGGAGGGATGGAGGGGAGCAGTGTTTTAAGCTTATTTCATGGGCAAGAGCAGTCAACCTATGGACAGAGCCACGGCTGTTTACCAGGTGGATGATGTGTCTAAGAAGTCGTGGACCGCTGCTCATGGGACTGAGGCAAAAAGTGATTTTTGAGAGTTTGATCTGCCTGTCTGCAGATATTCACATTGGGCATCCTGGCCTCCCAGCATCTGCTTCCTGTCCATGGTCGGGTGGGAGCCGCAGTCTTTATAGGTGCTGGAGACCTATCTCCGGATATCCTTGACCTGCCGTGATGGCTGAGGGTGAAGGCAGGGTTGGACGTTTTTGGTAGCAGTTCCCTCCAGTGCACAATGATTGTGTCTGTGACTCTTGGAAAGACTTAGGGGGTCTCTGCTCCAGGCATGAGGTAGAAGTAACTGTACCAACTTCAGGGAGAAAGACCCAAACCAAAGATGCTCAGTAATCGAGAGCAGGACCTGCTCTGGAGAGAGGAGCCATGGCTCTGTGAGTGCAGGCCTTTAGGGGTGTCCTTGTCCTCCATGGGTACAGCTGCTCTGTCCTGTGAGACCTGTTCTTCTAGCCAGGGCTCAGGTGCTGAGAGACAGGAAACAGCCCAGGTCGGGAATCAGAAACTTTAAAATCATACGTGCTTCTCAGAGATGTTTGGTCCTGCTTTGTGAAATCACATCTACTGTGAAGCCCATGTGAAACCAGATACCCAAACCCCTTGAAGTGGTGAGAAAAGATGCCTAGCAGTCGTCTTGGCCCTGGGGTCAATGGTCTTAGCTTGGCACTTGGAAATGGCCCAGATGAAATACCATCAAAGCAGCATGCCACGATCTTCCTGGAGATGACTCAGGCTGGCATTTGATTGTGTGTGTGTGTGTGTGTGTGTGTGTGTGTTTGTATGTATATGAGTGTGTATATGTGTGTTCATGTGGGTGTTCATATGTACCAAAGCTTGGGTGCCGTTCCTCAGGAACCACCCACCTTGTTTTATAAGACAGGGTCTCTCATTGGCCTGGAGCTTGCTGATTCAGGTGGGCTGGCTGCCCAGTAAGCCCTGAGAATTCTCGTTCTGCCTCCCCAGTGCTGGTATTACAAGGACATGTAATCATGCCTAGCTTTTAGAGCTTATCTATTTGCAAATGTAGATCCTGGGGATTGAACTCAGGTCCTCATGTTTGCATGCAAGCACTTTTGAGCGAACTCCTCATTTTAACACTTGGGTTTTTCAAAAGAGCCAAAGTTTCAGGAACATTCCTCTAGCATGGGCCTCAGTGAGCACAGAGGCACTTTGGGGCAAAGTCCAAGGTGACACTGTCACTGGGTGGATTCCCACCTAAGGAAGCTGTCTCTGGTGGGTGGAAGAATGCAGTCCCTCTTTGGTGCCATCATGGGAGGTGCTGTTTGCTCGTCTCAGCATTTCTGTTTTCATCATTTATAAGATGCGGTTTCTATCCAGGGGACCTCTTCCCTTTCCTGGGATGTGTTCTCTCGAAACAGGATGATTTGGACAATTTTTAAAAATGGTCAATTCTTAGATTTATTCCATTCCATTTATTTGATTTGGTCTCCAAGAAAGAGCAGAGTTTTGATTGAAACCATTGAATGTGACTCACAGGAGAATCACTATTAGAGTCTCTGGAGAACTTGCTACAAGTTCCTATTAGGCCAGTTGTGTGTGTGTGTGTGTGTGTGTGTGTGTGTGTGTGTGTATGTACATGTATCTCTCTATATATGTATGTGTGTGTAAGTGTGTATGTGTGTACATGTGTGCATATATGTGTGAATAAGTGTATGTGTGTATATATGCATATGTATAAGTGTATGCACAAGTATGTATGTGAGTCTCTGTATATGTGTGTGCACACATGCACACATGTGTACTTATGGCAGTGAGGGAAACAGAGAGGGAGAAGGAGGAATGTGGTCCTCTTTGCCTATGGCAGTGGAGGGAAGTCTTTTTTGTTTGTTTGTTTGTTTTGTTTTTGTTTTTCAAGTCAGGGTTTCTCTGTAGTTTTGGAGACTATCCTGGAGCGAGCTCTTGTAGACCAGGCTGGCCTCGAACTCATAGAGATCCACTTGCCTCTGCCTCCCGAGTGCTGGGATGGATGGAAGTCTTAACAACACCTCTAACCTCAGTGCTAGGGATGCAGAGTCAAGAGGCTTCATGGGCCTTGCTGCCCCATGGAAAGTGAGATCCTATCTCAAAAAGGTGGAGAAAAATGGGGGGCCAGCAAGATAGCTTAGCAGGAGAGGGTGCTTGTTGTTAAACCTGATGACCTGAGTTTGCTTCTCAGACCCACATAGTAAAGGGAGAGAACGTACTCCCATAGGTTATCCTCCGACCATTTCATATGCACATGTGTACACACGCACACACATATACACACACACACATGCACGCGCGTGCACACACACACGCGCACACACACACACATGCACGCGCGCACACACACACACACACACACACACACACACACACACAGATCCACATAAGAAAACAAAGGAAAACTAAGATGGAGAGTGACTGAGGAAGAAACCAACGCTGACCTCTGACCTCCACACCCATGTGCACACATATGCAATGTGCATTGACATATTGACATACCTGTGCAAATATATGTACAAATGTACACAAATACACACATGAACATGAACATATGCACATGCACCCACATCCCACAAAGCACAGGTTCACTGGACTTGACATTCTGTTGCTAGTGATCTATCATGTGTAGTCTTAGTTACTATTCTGTTGCTGTGAAGAGACGCCATGACACAGGAACTCTTACAAAGGAAGGCATTTAATTGGGGA